TACAAACACTACTGAATGAATGCACTTCTAAACCCACATTGCAATTGTGCAATTCTTTTTGTCTCATCTAGATACCAGTAGAATCGCGCTCAAAGAACACTTCAGCGAACGAGGGATACTTGAATTGTTACCAAGCCTTTATGCTGGTACCAATAATCATTGAAAAAACACTGCTCATCAATTGCGCTGGTATAATTATTCCTGACGAATCGTCTTGCGACTGGATTGTAAACTTAGGTAATTACAATAAAGTCTTGGCATCATGAGTATTAAAGAACAAGGGAATTTACTTCAGTAAAGCCCCTGTACAGTAATCTTACGCATTGTAGGATCTACCTATCACACAGTGGGATTATGATAGAATCCATTAATTAAGTATTGTATTTTGAGTGAGAGGTTTCCAGGGCTGTAAAAATGTGTTGGTCCTGGGTGCGGGATTTAAGTATTTTAGGGCTGGGCTAGCAAAAAATACATTAAAACTAGACTAATATTCAATAGTCGATATATAAAGGCTAGCAATTATTTTAGCAAAACTAGACCTTGGTCCAGAAAAAAAAAATTAACTTTTTAAAGCTCTGGTTTCTTAATCAACATGTGTCCATCAAGTTCAACATTTTGTAATAGACAAAAATTTGGGCTCTCAATATCAAAGGATGGGGGTAATTCAAAACTTTGCTGTAAATTTTGCTTGCGTCTATGGGAGCATTACCAATGTCTGTTTGTCTTCCCCAGGAGTATACGGTCCATTGACCAGGGGGTAATAAAGTTGAAAGCGCTTTGATACTTGACTTTTATAAGTCAAGCTCATATATAATGGAACATCATTATTATTAACCCTTCCCAGTCGTATGGCGTCGCGACGACGCCATCTTCGACCATACTTTATAGCGAGGCTACCCTCTATAGGATTTTTTTAGTGTGATGTAGTAGTATTTCTGTAGAATTATACTTTCTTATCTGAGATTAATCAGTGGACCTTTCGGTTTTTTAAAAAAACCATTTTAGATTAGATATTTTGTGGTCAAACTATCTAACTGGTCAGTTTGACCAAGAATAATATCCTAGTTTAAAAAGACAACACCAGTCCCCCAAAATTGTTCAAAATTTAAAATGGGGAAAAAGAATTTACATTTCAATATTTTTAGTCTAGTTTTTAGTGCCATTCCCAGTCATCTAGAAGTGCCATAGACAATCCATGGTGGGGCTAGGGTTGTCTGGCCCCTCCAACTGTAACATTCACCTCTCTATTTTAAATTTTCCACCACTTGAATAGCCTATTAGGTGGAATTACCCAAGTTTAACCAATCAAATCGTACCTAGAAAATATTTCCATGCTGTTTTCCCAGCAGCGGCATATCTAGTGTCTATCTAATTTTAAAATGGGGGTGGCGGGCAATGCGGGTGTGATAGTGAAGGGGGAGGGCCCTCAAAGTTTAGTGAGTGGGCGCTTGCAAAATAAGGTGATACAATTCCAAAGGTGGGGGAAGGGGGCGAAAAATGGCCCGAAAGTGGCACCGATCGAGATAACAATGCCCTAGGGGGTCCGGGGGCATTCCTCCACGAAATTTCTGTGTTCAGACGACCGAAAATAACCTCTGAGGCCTATTGGGCAATGATTTTTTTTAATTTTCCTTTTTTTTTTCTTTCTTTCTTTTTTTTTTTGACTTTCCAAAAGGGGAGGGGGAGGGCCGGGGGAAATTACAGGTACAGTAGAACCCATTTAAGGGGACATCTTCATGACCAAAAAGTGTCCCCTGAAGAGGTTGGCTATAGTTTTAAATAAAAGATATACTTCCGCGTGTTGTGTCTGAAAAAGCATCCCCTGGATAGGGGTGTCACCAAAACAGGGATGTCTCAATATAGTAGTAGTAGTAGTAGTAAAACTTTATTTATTCACGAGACACAAATCAACAGATACAATGCTGTTTTTCATTATGGCCGTGATATACCTTAGTTACAATTTATAAATTACACATTATGGTACATCATAAAAAAGCAAAAGTTAGACATAGAAATTATATAATATAGATACAAATTATAATTATTATAAAAATTGCAAAAAAATCAACAATTAAGTAAAATGAATATAATCATTACCTAACAATGGCAAAATGGAAAAGGCGAAAATCCACTCAACAAAAGTAAACAGTAAGTTATGAAAAAGATATGTAAAAAATAAATACAACAAAGCCAAAAAAAAAACAAAAAAAAACAGTAAATTAGTGATTTATTGAGAAGGGCTCTACTGTATTTGAGTATTTTCTTTTCCAACAATAACCCAAGTTTTCCCTTTAATTCGATACACAATTTTACCATCATATACTTTTAGATTTAAATCTAAAATTATTGGTTCATTACTGCATGATATTTCATCATGAAATGAAAGGGACATAAGGTCATTGCTACTTGCTACATTTGACTGGTTTTTATCTAAGTTTGATTTATTGGTTAGGAAAATTTATGATTTAGTTTCTTTTATAGTTTTGTTTTTCACTTCATTTCTCTTTTTTTGTTTACATAAAGTGTGTAAATGCTTTCTTTTTTGTATAATGTGCTATGACTAAGATTATTATATTCATTACTAAATATTAATATTATTATCATCCCTGGATTTTTCAATAATAACCCTGGATGGAAAAAAAATACTGTAGCTATAATATAACAAATGCTGGTAGTACGTTGTATAGTATCATTTTACTTTTAACAGTAGAAGTGTTAAGTTTTTGACCTGAGTTCAAATGAATTAAATTAACAAATTAGGGCAGTGAGAAAAAAATTTAAGGCAGAATATTATATTGCTTATTTACTTTGATCAAACAAGTTACCAACAAATGGCTGATAAGGGGCGCCAAAACATATACACAGCCATAATATCGGTGCTGGTTCTAGCCGCCCGCTCACCTATGTTTCTGACAGTGAAACAAGTCTTCTCAGATTAGGCCAAGTACACAATTGGCTCTTTAGAAAACCCAATACATTCTTTGAGTAAGGGGTACTCTGGTGTACTGATCCTGTTGTGAACAGACCAAAGTAGTGGGGACTGGTTTACAAGTAGCCCAGACAGGAAGTGGCCCTTAGGGGAAAATAAAATCCCTGTGTAAGCTACGTAGTCCACACCACGATCACTTTGAGGCTTTAGGAGAAGCGCTATATAAACCTATCTACATTGCATTACATGACACAGATAGAAATAATCAGTTTTTACTTAACCAGATAATTTAAGTGTTTATGTATATAATATAGGAGGAGTATTACAATGAATTGGCAGCTTTTATTATTATTATTATTATTATTATTATTATTATTATTATTATTATTATTATCATTATTATTATTATTCTTTCATCAGTTACCAAGCAAGAAAAATATTTTTATATAATAATAGTAACAATAATAATAATAATAATAATAATAATAATAATAATAATAATAATAATAATAAAAATGATGTTTAGGATTTATAAAGCAACTTAGACAATGGGAAAATATGAAAGTTGATCTAATAAATAAACTGAAAGTACAGTAAGTCTACCAATGTTATATTATATTATATTAAGCAAGCAATATATAAATACTGTACATAATTTGATTGCTTATTAGTTCAAAACAGTATAATATCTTTACATATTGGCTGCCAAACATTTTTTCCTAGTTTCATTCCATTAAGGCATAAAGGGCGCCACCATAATGAATATCATTCCCATCAAACTTTAACGAAACAAACAAACATATGGTATTATTTTTAGATTGTTAATTCCAGGATCTTCCCTGAACCTCCAGGGTGAGAGTTCATGTTCTGGTGACCATTGCCAGCGAGTATACGTGCAATACAACAGTGGTATGTTTAGACAGATGTGGACGTGAACTCGCATCCTTGACGCTCTGAGTTTACATCCCTGGCCACGAACGTTTTAAAGAACATATTGCGAAAAATATTTGAACTCCGGGGTAATTTTAACATCAAATAGGACGGTCCCCATTTCCCAAAGGAAGGAAAGGTAAATGATATATTTTTTTAATGACTTCAGAGGTTAATGTATTTTGGAATTTGTTGTTTATGTTGTATCTTTGTAACTTGTTTCAAACTGAATTGTTAATTGTTATTTTTGATGCCGATTTTGATGCCGAATGAAGTCAAGCCAAGTCAACAGGATAAGATAAAAATTGATAGACTTGTAATGTTCTAGAAAAGAAAATTGTTTAAAATTATTGTTTAACATATAAAATGGGGAAAATAACAGCATAGCATGATGTATAGATATATAATGGTTAGTTTAGTGCAATAAAATAGATTTTTTTTTTAATGACGTTACAGCATGTTTTGGTCAATATCTCTGAAACAGGATTTGTCACGAGTGACTGGTTTGGCTTGTCTTTGCCAAATATTGAGATAGGCCACACCCACCTAAGCACCACCTTGGACGTGGCCTAACAATTTTAGTTATTGGTTGCAGTATTCTTAATATTAAAAGCAAGTAAAAGTACATAGTACATACTGCTATGTTTCATTCTACTACAGTATCAGTCGACTTGACTTGGCCTATGGTGAAGTCATTATAGAATGTACCATTCACATTTCTTCCTTTGGAAAATGTGGACCTTTCTATTTGATGTCAAAATTACCAAAATAATTTTTTAAATCGTTGCTCGCAATATGTTCTTTAAAATGTTCACTGCCAGGGACGTGAACTTACACCCGACAGGGTTCACTCAGAGAGCCAATGATGCAAGTTCACATCCACACCTGTCTAAACATACCACATTGTATAGCATAAAGTAGTTATCTCATCTCTAGATGACCAAAAATGGCACACTTGGGCCAGTTGTTTTTCGCTTAGAAAATTATTCTAATTATAATTTTTCCCAACAGACGTTACGAAGACTCACCAACAGATGGGTGGGCTCCTATTAAATCTGGTATTTACGCATATTGTATACTAATTTACACTTCAATTCAACTATATTTTAGCTACTAGCAAATATTGAAGGATAAACTATACCTGTTTGCCAAACACTTGAAGCGAAAAAGCTTGCATGCTGGGTTGAAATGCATTGTGGTATACATCAAGAACTTCTGGGTTATGGTTGCGTCCTCTTCCAAAGATCTTAGCCTGGTTGTTCCATTGTATTGGTGCATCCACCTACAGAAAGAGAAAAAATACTGCCTTATTAAATATCGTACAGAAAACAAGTTGAAACATGTTGTACAATGTTAAGTCTTATAGCCAATTCACATGAGAAACAATGTTACACTCGTCGGGAAATTTTGGCATGTGTCCCTTGCTAAATTGTGTTTGTGTGAATACCTTTAATTTTAAGATTAACATGCTGCTCTGGAAAAAATAAATATAATAATATCAATATTTTAAAAAAATTGATATCGCACTCACAAGATAGCATGCTCGCAGGGTATCCTATAGCTGATATTTATTCTGTGGTGTTGCACAAATCTTTAATATCTGCATATAAATTGTACCGACTCTTTGCAAGGTTTATATTCGCTTATGTGTAGATGATGGTATCTTGGGAAGTCTGTTAGCATATAGCATGCATCCATAGTAATATTTGATTTTGTGTAAATCAGGTATTAGGCTTGCAAACGGAAGGTTGAAAGTTTGACTAGGGGGTTGATTGCAGTGCTTGTGGCCTATGTTTATCTCACTTCATAAGCGTAAAATATGCCTGATAGGATGGCTAGGCATCAGAAGACGAAATATAGGAGGCAGTGTATACCTCAGCCACTTCCCCATTTGGGGGCTCAGGCCCAAAATATTTTTTGGCCCATACGCTGCCATGAAGCCATGACTGTGATGTTTCCTGAAATGCAGATTCTGAAACAGTTTGTTGCAACAGAAAATTGTATACTATTTTGCATATTATATACGGTGTCATAAATTACCTGCCAATTGAGGTGACCATGTGGGCCATAGCTAGTCATCTTGCCGTTGCTAAGCAGAAACACTGCATCGTACCCCTGATTTGGAGATCGAAAACCAATGCTACGCAGATGGGATAATACACTGCGCTTTTTCGCCACCCTAGAAAAAAAAAAGAGAAATATGCAAGTGAGAATGCATTTTTCTGCTAGGCTACAGTAGACAAAGTGCAAAAAAAAATTGCTTCTTACACAGCCTGGCCTAGAACCTAGGTCGGGCGCATAGGTTTGCAAGTCACTTTCTGTTTGCCGTTTTCAATTTTGTAAGATCTTTACTTGCCTTAGTCCCTGTTAATGGTAATTATTAAACCATCCAACAAAAGCACAATTACTATTATCATGATTATAGGCCATTTTAACCATAACGTCTGCTCAGCTTATACATATTTGTGGCATGGTTATCTCAGGGAACAGTGATAATTTCACTGTTCCCTGGTCATCTCTAGAGCAATGGCGAATTGCAAAGGCCCATGAGCAATATGAGCCCAGTGACCCTTTTTTTAGATGTTTGGGCTCATATTTTCTATTTTTGGGCCTTGCCTGAGACCTATAGTGGGCTTGTCAATAGAGGGTGCTATTATTGAACTTAATAATTTTAGTGAATTTGCTTACTTTTTCACAACTAATGGTAACACTGAAAGCTTTTTATCTTCTTTCAAATTGCTTGAGTGGAATTTTAAGAATGATCCTGAAAGAAATGAAAACCAGAAGGCAATTATTAAAAACAATGTATTATTAATTATTATTATTATTATTATTATTATTATTATTATACTTATAATGGTCACATTATTAAGAAGACACAACAATAATTGTTACTTAACCAATATCCTGAGGCGCGTGGAACGGAGAGAGTAGAGAAAACAGTAGAACTTATACATACTGTTTGTGGTGCTGAACTAATAATAATAATTCAAATAATAAAACATAATATTAAATGGTACAGGTAAAAGTCTAAAAGTTAATTAAAAATATTCGTAACATCTGCTGATGCATTTGTTACCATATTTATATCTGCCTTAACAGGTGGTAAACGAAGGTACACTATCACAGCAGGGTTACTGGTATCTTTAATCACTTTTAACAGATTGTTAAGCAAATTAATTCATTAATTACAAAATATGCAAATATTACTGGGCTCCCAAATATAACAATAATAATACATTAATAAAAATATAATAAAATAATAATAAAAATAATAGTACTAATAATAATAAATTAATACCAATATATTTATAATTTATAGTAATAGCATAATAACCCTTTGTGCATCTATTATCTATTAATATATTTGATATTTTGGTTTGAGAAAGGTATTTTTGTTTTCTATGGAAAAATAACAAAAATAGGCTTGTCGCACCATGGAGGAAAAAAGCAGATAGGCTAGACTGGGTTCCAGTCTCTAAATTTTGTCTTAATCAGTGAAAATTGCTTGGGAAAAAAAAATTGATTTTGGCACCAATGGCATTTTATATTACTTATTTGCTTGGTGTTCCATAATTTAATTTTTCTTGGTTTAATTCACATCCAAATTCATCAACATAACAAGTTTCACAACATAAACTGATGCTGGTGGCACTCTCCAAAATTAGCTAATACTAGGAAAAATCAATATATTAAGCCTGTTTTTGACTTGCAAATTTTTCACGTGAGTCGAATGTGCATCCACATTTCTATAGAAGTTTTCGCTTAGACGCCTTAGATTCGTGCAAATAAATTTGTCTAGTCGAAAACAGGCTTTAGAGACTTGTGGCAAGTCTACAAACAGGGTAGTTCTGAAATGAACTGTTGCATTGTTGAAAATGCTTTATGCTTTGAACAGATTGGCATAATCATCATCAGAAGAATGATGAAAAGATTTATCATTAGTGTATATACCATAGGTGGGAAAGGTGTGGCCCGCGGGCCGCATGCGGCCCAACAGCAATTGTTTTGCGGCCCGCGAAAATGAATTAGAAACCCTAGGTTTTTGGCCCGCCGAGCAACAATGGCTAGAAAACACCTTGTTTTGTGCGGCCAGACACTGATCATCTGCAAAAAGTAATAATAAAACTGGGAATAAAGTGGTGTAAAAGCAGTGCTTGGAGGTTTTTGAAAGAACACTGGAAACATCAAAGTTTGGGTGCAGCCCTCAGTGTTAAATCGAAAATTCACTTTGGCCCTTCGACCAATTTTTATGCTCACTCCTAGTATATATGAAGAGGATGAAGATACTGTGCCTGTGACTGATTGACAGCTGTAGAATAGATGTGGTTGGATGACAAAGAAGACAAAGCAAATACCGAAGCTTGGTTGGAGCCAAAAGACATTTCTAACCAAGGATACCAGAAACAAACTAACAAGAGGAACCAACACTTTTAGTGTGAGACCACCAAAAGGCAGTGGTTAGGAGTTAAAAGGTGTTCAAATAATGCAGACATCTACTCTAATTTATAAGCAAAGCAAAAGTATGGAAAACAAATAAGTGAAAACTTAAAGGTCTGGAAAAAGGTGTGCCTTTAGACTATTAAGTAAAGACCCATCTGGATTAGTCAGCCTTAAACTCAACGGCCAAATGGTAATGTAATATGACTCACATCTCATGCTATACTATTTTGCATTTTAATTGTTAAAGTATTATTTGTTGTTACAGTTCAGTAGTTACATCTGCACATTCTAACGTATTTTTAAATCACAAAATTATGCTTGTGATTGGACAGGGTATGTAACATGTGTTTCTTTCCTTGTTTAAATATGTGACAATCTACATTTTTTTTTTAAACTAAGGTCAATAGTTATGATCTACACAGCTACAATGTATTACAAAACAGTGTATGGATGTATGTGGATGTGCCTCAGTATCTTTCTATATGATGCAACATACTTTTTCTAAATAAATAAAAAAAGTATATTCTGCACTGCTAGAACATTTGAATGGCTCTGTCATAACCAGCCATTTCAAATTGAATTTTTGGTGATCTTTTTTTTTTTTGCTTTTTTTAGATTCCACATAAACTCTTTAAAATCTTTAAAACAGTGTTTATTTGATGAAAATTGGTTGAGTATTAGCGAAGTTATCAATATTTAATTAATTGCATATCAGCCATGAAGGTTTTGAGAAAACAACTTCCAAACATTTCAAAATCAATCGTTTATTATTAAGATTTGTAGTTAAAAAATAATTTTAATATACTGTACTTGGCAGTTAGATTTAGTGACTGATATTTCGCAGAAATTTTCTTCAATAATTCTCTTTTATAAAATGCAAAAACACTTACATTTTCAAAAATCTGTTTCTCAAATGTTTTGGGTGCTTGGAAATTAGAAATTACGACAAATGGCAGGTTTTGCTAAAACCAGTCACATATACTAAATTGGTATTTAAACCTTACCTGAAACTGATAACATATCAATGAATGTAGGAGGTTGGCATATAGAAGCATTAAAGATGACACCTGTAGAAGGGTTGTCAATGGAATGAACCACTGCTAGGCAGTTGTCGCTATTGCTTGGATCACTTGTGAAATGAGCTGAAATAATCAGTAAAATATAGGGGGAAATGTTACTGACATTGTATTTAATCTATCATTAAAACACAATAACAATCATAACAATACTTTTTTTGTTTGATTTATTCAAGTATTGGTGTTATCCGACGTATTAAATATTTTCTTCCATCCCATGCACTAAAAAGTTTAACTCATGCTCTTGTATTTCCTCTTTTTGATTATTGTTGCTGTGTTTAGTCTAACTGTAGTATTTAAAACACCAATTGCTTACAAGTGCTTATGAATAGATTAGGTAGAATTTTGCTTTCAGTAGATATTAAGATATGTTAATTATATATTAAGTATGCTCGGCTGGAGAAGGCTCAATGCTAGTTGGGATGAGAAATTACTTATCATGATTTTCAAATGTTTTAAAGGTTATGCTCCTCAATATCTCACATCAAATTTTATCTTCAACAATAGTACCCATACCAAAGGAACACGTAGTCAAACAAATAACAATCTAGTCATCTCAACTTTGAATAATAGTCAAGGAAAACAGACTTTTCTTTACCGGGCAACAAAAATGTGGAATGAACTTCCTAATGAATTAAAAATGAACTTTCAAAATATGTCGTTACATTTATTCCAAAACAATATTACTACCTAAATGTATTTCATTGACTCTTCTCTTGCTTGGTTTTTATTTTTTGTGTGTTATATACAGGTATTTACATTCTCTTTATTTTTTGTTAAACAATTCTTTATATTGTATATATTTTTGTTATGTTTAAACTGTACCAATTTGAAAATCAGTGTAATAGTACTGAAAGTTCCTACAGTATAAAGAAAAAAAAATAAATAAATACAGTAAAATCACATAAAATATAACCAGAAGGTAGAATGCAGCTGAAGCATATGCAATGTTTAAAAAAAAAATCTAATAGCTTAATCGGAAAGTAGCAAACAAAAAAACATTAAAATCTATTATTAAATTCAACACATAACCAATGAAGAAAATCAAATTATCCTAATACCACTGCAGTAACAAAAATCACAAACCTAAAAAAAAAAATTACAATGACTATTATAACAACCAAAATTCTTATTTCATAATAACTATACTTTACTAAAAAATATTTCCATTTCATCTTTGTCTAAAGGTAGTGTAGTTAATTATATAATATTACAGGTTATTTATTTATTTGTTTATTAATGTATAAAATTATTTGTTCTGTGAAGTTTCTTTGGTGTATTTTTTGTAAGAAAATCAATCTCATGATAGCATATGTGTATGTGTATTACTATGGCAACAACATATTCTTAATCTGAAGATTATTAATATTACCTTTGACCTCATCCACACTGCCATCTTGGTTAAAGTCAACATAAACAGCTCCATGATGTGGCAGCTTGAGAGAGGTTAGTGGCCACCTTCTGACAAGGTTCATGACCCCAATACCCTAAATGAACATGGGAGGGTAGGTTGTAGGTAAAACTTTATTTATTTTTTTGTTAATATATTTCAGTAAAAATGTGTTCTGTGAATTATAGGAGAATGGGATATGGAAGAGGGGAAGTGGGATATATCAGAAATGGACATGAGAAATGCCATCAGTTCAAATATTACCAAAATTAGCCGTTTTTCTCATGAATAAAAACAGTTTCCTTTCTCTTTCTTTCTTTTTATTTATTTAAAATTCATATCAAAATATAAAAATCCAAGGTTAAAAACAGAAAAAAAGTAACACAAAGGTCAACTTATTTCCATTGCGGTCCTTAAAAAATTAAAATCTCTGAACTGAATAATGAGTTTTTAAACATAACTAAGCAATAGCAGGAGAAGAATATCTTGATAAATGTTCTCCAGAATAATTGATATTTAATTACTGCCATAAAATGTATTAATTAATTGATTATTATAATCAATTATAAATGATTATTTAATTACTTGCGTATATACTTTTAAAAACCATATGTTTCAACATGACTGCACAAAATCAGATGTTATACTCTGATCAAATACACAGGGTGTTGGAAAGTGCCACACCCAAGCAATCTAAATGGATTTTTTGTGATTTTTTAAAGCGGTTGGTACTACCATATTTCTTCGGGTATAAGTCCACCACCTACCTTATGCCCAATTTTATGTACCAGCATTACTCCTAGCAAAAGCCCAGGGTATGGATATGCCTACATAAGCAGACATGCAGGGTTGGAAACTTGCTTTCTGATTTGAAAATCAAAAATCCTAATTTTAATGTTCACGATGAGAAGTGGTTATACCACAGGATGAGAAGGCAGGAATATCTGCTGTAGTATGTATTTGAAAATCAGGATTTATTTTTTACCGTACCTCATTTGAGTGTGTAACAATGACATTGGGATTTTTGACATGTTCCGATGGACTGTGAGGGCGCATGCCACCAAATGCATATCCAGCAAGATGAAGATCATCAAGGCCAAACACTATAAAAAAAAAAGTTGATAATACTTATTACTTATAATAAAAGATAATACTGTTAAGAATATTAAATGGTGAATTTCTGCCATGTTGTCACAGTGGAACTAATGCCTTTAAGTATTTTTACAGTGTTAGATTATAACTAATATACATCAATCACAACAAAAACACAACTAAAACGAAAGCAGATTAAGACTTAGTTTAAACATTCGCCCACACAATCTACTGTGTGAATCACTTAAATTTGTGTTTGTATAGACCATTTTTGCGAAATTTGAAATGAAAATTTCCAATGACCTTGCAACTACCACTTGGGAGACTTTCAGAGGCCTATGCACTTCATGCTACGTAGTTACCATTGTCCGCGCGGCGCTCTTTTTGACACTAGCTAGCTGCTCAGGCTAGGCTAGGCCACGGCTAGGCTGCTAGAATTCCCCCAGTGAGTTGCGAGATGTTAGCAGCGCTGTTTCAAAATAAACCTGATAAAATTGACTGTCCCGGGTGCGAGAAACATGTGATAATATCAGAAAGTAGACTTTCACTATTAATTATTACACTCACATGAAGGCAGTGCTGTTCCAGCATCGTTGTCACCGTCGTAATTTTCAGCATCCTTCTTGAATCGTGCTAGTTCAATTGCTGAGTCATATCCAAATTTCCAGCGATGAGGCTTCAAATAACAAATTAATTTTAATAATTTTGGTATTATGGTAATGTATCTTATATAAGATAGTATAATACATACTCCAAGTATCGAAATGCACACCATCGTGTCGGGATTCAATATTTCGACATTAATTATGTCATCATCAGGAATCCCGACACAATAGCGTGCATTTCGATTCTTGGAGTATGTGTTATACTATCTTATCTGAGATTAATCAGTGGACCTTTCGGTTGCGATTTTTTATAATTTGTTTATCTTAATGAGTTTAACAATTGTTTAGCTATCAGCCTTCTAAATTGTGGGCTCACTGGTTTACTGTAATCACAAAGACTAAGAATGGTACAATGTAACTACTGTATAAAATTGTGCAGTACCAAAAGGTTCAATGTATGCACCAACTATTTGTTCAATACCATAGTTATTCTGGTATAACCACATTACCCTTAAACACAAAATTAGGTCAATTTTGATGGGGATCCCCTTTTCAATCAAAAGGCGATTTTTCAGCACTTCATGCCTATTTTAAAGCCAAACTATGATTTATTTTAAAGGGTAAATTTACTTTATTTTTAGCTAAACTACTAATTCAAATCATGCCCTTGGCTTTTGCCCAAGGATAAGTTGGTATGTAAAATTGGGCATAAAGTAGGGGGTTGGCTTATACTCAAGGAACTAACTATTCAACTAACCAGAGCTTGAATCAGTGATTGTGAATAGTGTGACCAGTGCTGTTCCTTTAAATGTGCTAACCCCTTCCGCAAACCAAGCTTGAAATGATGAGCTTTGAAAATGTCCTGAAAAGAATAATAATGATAATAATAATAATAATAATAATAATAATAATAATAATAATAATAATAATAATTTTCTTTTTTTTGGTACAGTAATGAACATGAATGCATTAAATAAAATATATACATACAATAATTCTCTGTAGAAAATCATCTTTCAACTCAATAAATATAGTGTCTTCATAAAAAATGCAATGATTTACAGCAATATTTCTCTGATAAAGTCATTCGTAATATTGTTGTATATCATCAACATTATTAGTTATTATTACCAATTATCATTATTATTAATATAATTAGGGCTTCAATAGATATACTTTTCATTGTAATAAAGTTTTTGGTTGATAATAGCTTCAATAAACAATTGAATTCTGAAACAAAAAGAACTGGGGACATTATCAGTTATCCTTAAAAGCCCGTAGCCAGGATTTTGGTAGGGGGGTTCTTTTTGATACTGAAAGGGCACTTGCGGGCACCATTGACTGGGGCCAGGGGGCCGCCAAGGGCCCCCGGGGGTCCAGGGCCAAAACCCCGGTGGGGGTCCAGCATTCTATGCATTTACAGGTGTTATTTAATTGATTTGAGAGGCCATACATTAAAAAAAAATGTATATATTAAAGAGGTAATTTTTTGAG